GTGAGGGTGCGGGGGGAGTGAGAGTGGACGGGGGAGGAGTGAGGGTGCGGGGGGAGTGAGAGTGGACGGGGGAGGAGTGAGGGTGTGGGGGGAGTGAGAGTGGATGGGGGAGGAGTGAGGGTGGCAGGGTGAGGGAGACTGCCCGCTTCTCAGAGGAAGGGTTGTGGGTTCTCACTGCCTGCACCTGGCTCCAGGGCTTCACCAGTGCGCACTTCAGTCCCTGTCCACAATCCCCTCAGGCTTCACGATATCTGCAGCCTCCGTCCCTGTGGTTTCTTTTCTTGGGCATATGAATATGCACTCATATTGTCTTAATTTGGTGAAAAAAGTCCCTCATTTAGGCTTCCTGGTTACCAAAATTGAGCCAAACTCTTTGGGTTTTCTACATGTTGCCTTCCGTTTCTCAGCTTGAAAGGCAGCTGCTCCTAGGCTCCCGCACCCAGGGGATGCACCACTCCAAAGGCCACTCCCTGGACACTCATCAGCTGTTTCTTCAGCATCTAAACCTTCCAGCAACAGCCCCATATTTCTCCTTGGGGATCCACGAGGTTCTGGGAAATTATGGAGTTGAAGCCCATGACCTAGGTAGGCCAATCAATGCACTGAATTCCTTTCTTAGTGAGTAGTGCAGGGGTAATCATGTGACCTTGCCGAAACAATCAGAACGAAGTGTAGGCCTTCAATTTGGAATTCTTGGAGAGAGATGTTCTCTCTTTCTCTTAACACTGTGCCCTGGGATTTAAAACCTTTACTTATCAGACCTTTAAAATCCAGCTTGTATTAATGCTACCCCGAAACAACCTGGTTCTTCTGTGACCTCTAAGAAATCTTTTTCTTGGTTTCTTCCATTACATCTTCCTCTTTCCACATCCTAAATGTGCACATTTCCACAGATTCTGTCTTCAAGCCCTGCGTGTTTCTCTCTTGAGTTTGCATTGTTCCCTGGCTTCATCTCTCCCTTTCCTATCAGTGTGCCTCTCAAGTCCACATCTTTCAGTCTCTCCCAAAATTGAAGCCTGCATTTTTTAATTGAATGCTAAAAGTTTCCATCTGGATGTCCTATCAGCTCCCCTAAACCAACTTGTCTAAAATAAAAATCAAAAACCACCAAAAAAAATGGATACAAGAAATGAGCAGCTAACAGAAAAGGAAATATAAATGTCTCTTAAATGTATGAAAATATCCCTAAGCTTACTCAATATGATATGAAATTAAACTATACCAAGGAGAAATTAAAACCTATGTTTTTACAAATAACGGTACATGCCTGCTTACAGCAGTTTTATTAATAATCAGCACAAACTGGAAACAACCCCAATGTCCCTGAATGGGTGAATGGGTAAATGAACTGTGATACCCCTCAGCAGTAAAAAGCAACACACTATGGAGGCGTGTGACGGCTTGGATGAAACCTCCAGGAAATTATGCTGAACGGAAGAAGTCAAGCTCTGAGGGTTACATACTGTACCGTTCTATTTATATCATGTTCTCGAAAAGATAAAACCACAGTGATGGAGAATGGATCGGCAGTTACCTAGGGATTTCGGGGTGGGGGGAGATGGTGACTCCAAAGGGATGGCAGGAGGGAGGTTTGAGGGTGATACAGCTGCTCTTCATCGTGGTGGGGTCACTCAGATCGATACACGTGTTAACATTCATGGAGCTCTATGCCAAACTTAAAGTCAATTTTTAAAATAAAATTTAAAAATATATTTCAGACAAGTAAACCAAAACTAAAAAGCTGGTGGGCTTTTCTGTTGCCACTGAATGCCTGCTGCTATCTGCAAAGCATGCTCTGGACCCCTAGCGAGGTTCCCAGCATAGCTGCTCCCTCCTTCACCTTCCCACACAAACCGTGCAGAAAATTGACTCCTCATCTGTCCCTGCTGACAGAGATGCAGAGGTTTAACATTCTGTTAAGGAAACTGTAGGGGTGAAATGGGACTCTTTTTCATTAATCATATGGATGCAAAATGGTGTAACATTTATGGGGAGGAGCCTGTCCATAGCTTTAAAAATTACACATTTATTTATCCTCCAGTCAAACAATCTCATTCTGGGACTTGACCTTAGAGATATAATGGCTCAAGTTTGAAAGGAAATGTTTACAAGTTATCTGTTGTTATATCGTTTGTAATAGCAACACACTGGAGATAACCAAGTTCCATCTATAGAGGACTAGTTAAATTAAATGATGATATAGTCACACAGTGGAATACTATGCAGCTGCAAAAAGAATGAGGAAGCTCTGACAAGAAATTTTAAAAAGCAAGGTGCAGGCCAGGTGTGGTGGCTCACGCCTATAATCCCAGCACTTTGGGAGGCCACAAGGGATGGGTGGATCATGAGGTCAGGAGTTTGAGACCAACCTGACCAACATAGTGAAACCCTATCTCTACTAAAAATACAAAAATTAGCCCGGTGTGGTGGGCACCTGTAGTCTCAGCTACTCAGGAGGCTGAGGCAGGAGAATCACTTGAACCTGGGAGGTGGAGGTTGCAGTGAGCTGAGACCATGCCATTGCACTCCAGCCTGGGTGACACAGTGAGACTCTGTCTCAAAAAAAAAAAAAAAAAGAAATCAAGATGCAGAAAAGAGCATACAGTATATCACCATTTCTGATTTCCATTTTTTAAAGCTGGGCAGATGCAGAGATATCCTTTCACTTGAATACACAGAGGTGCTACTTGGATGACTGGGGACAG